ATTCACTTCATATTACTACAGTAAGATGTGATTTTCACTTTGACAGCTTCTTCCCAAGAACTGCTACTTGAAGTACAGACTCCTGCCAGGATGTTTTCCACTCACTACACTCTTGACCACTTCATGTCTAGGTGTAACTGTTATTATTCCTTTTTACTTATCTTGAACTTCTTTCTTTTCCTTTTACACTAATATTCGTACAACTTATTACTCTCGTCTTCAATAGCTCTTTCCCTTGTTTGTTACATAGATATAAAAGCTAATCTCTTTCTTTTATGTTACACGTATCTTTTATCATAATTTTTTTACAATAATTATCTAATCAGTGTGTATCTTTCCTTGTATCTATGTGAAATTTTTAATATATATATATATATATATATATATATATATATATATATATATATATATATTTTTTAAATTTTAATATATATATATATATATATATATATATATATATTTACATTTAGGAAATATTATATATATTTCATGAGATACATATATGTATATATATTAATTTTATAATATATATATATATATATACATATATATATATATATATATATATTCAAATTTAGTAATATATATATATATTAAATTTTAACGCCAATATATGTATATATATCTATATATATTTTAAATTTAGAATATATATTAAATTTATAATATATATATATATATATATATATATATTATATGTATATATATTAAATTTAGTAATATATGTATATATTAAATTTAGTAATATATATATTCGAAATTTATAATATATATATTAAATTTAGTAATATATATATATATTTTGTATATATATACAGTCTGAAAATTATATTTATATATAAATATATATATATATATATATATATATATATATATAATATATATACATATATGGATATATATTAAATTTAGTAATATGAATATTTATGAAATTTAGTATTATAAATATATATATGTATATATATGAAATTTAGTAATATATATATATATGAAATTTAGTAATATATATACATATATATATATATATATATATATAATACATATGTATATATATATATTAAAATTATACATATATATATATATATATATATACATATATGCATATATATTACATTTAGTAATATATATATATATATATATCATATATGAAATTTAGTATTATATATATTAAATTTAGTAATATATATATACATATATATGAAATTTAGTAATATATATGTATATATATGAAATTTATATTTTATATATATATATATGTATGAATCTTTATATATTTCATTTAATAATATATATATATATATATATATATATATATATATATATATATATATAAATACTAAATATATATATATATATATATATATATATATATATATATATATATATATATATATATATATAAAATCCCATACTCTTACATATTTTATGATCATAGCAATAACTCGTAGAAGTTTCTCCTACGCATTGTTTGCATTTTTAAAAAACCGCTGTTTCCAAAATCTGCTTCACATCCTTTATTAGGCATCAAAGACCGAATATTTCAATAAGTCGAAGCTCCCTTCTATCAAAGCTAATATCATCCAGCCCCACGTCACATCCTAATATATAAGTGCACATGAGGTCACATCATAATGCGTGTGCCTGCATGCACACGCTATTTACTCGCGTTTAATCGGCTGAATGTTGTTGGATATTACCCAGATTAATAAACAATTATATACAAAATAAATAAATAGCGTTCAGATATAATCGTCAAACTGTTAAGTCTATATATATAATTAATAATTGAAAGTAACTCCAGAAAAAATGTTTGTAGGAGATATATAACTGAATAAAGAAAAAACAGTTCCCCTTTCTTTTTTTTATGTACCGTGTCCTTTCCTGGCGTAAGCGATCATGGCTCTCCATCTCCCTCTGTCCCTTGCAGGTCTTAACAATGTCCTTTACTTCCTCCCCCAGATCATTTTCTGTGATCCACTTGCTTAAGCCCCCCAGGTATGTCACACGTTGTTTTCCTTTGTCTCTCTTTCCGTCTATTGGTCTCAGACTCTCCAGGCCCTTCATCCTCATTATGTGTCCTAGAAACTTCAGCTGCCTCTTCCTGATGTTACGTATAAGCCTACTCCTTGTTTGCAACCTCTCCTTGCTCATACGCCTGGTCCATGATATCCTTAGCATCTTTCTGTAGAACCACATCTCCATCGCCTCGAGTCTTTTCTTTATCTTTGAGGAGATCGTTCAACATTCGCTGCCGTAAAGAAGAACAAATATATATATATATATATATATATATATATATATTAACAATATTTAGGCAGCAATCCCTTCATTTATGCATGTTTCATTAAAAACGACAGACAACGTATTACGGTTATCTATGAGTTCAAATGCCCTTTAAGGAATTGCGTTCCTCACCAAACTTTACATCGGCTACACAACTACATGTTTATCCAGACGTCTTACATTACACCTATCTGATCACAGTTCCATCAGAACACATTTAAACACACACTCAGATTTACCTGACACTATTAGGAACATACTAGTAGAAAACACAAATATATTAATCAGCATCCACTTGCAAAAAAATGACTAAAAATAATGGAACCTCTAATAATAAAAAAAAAAAAGCCAACTCTTAAGAATATTAACTATGAACAAAGCCACAATGTGCTAACCGTATTCGGAAACTAAAAACATCACTACCACACACTGAACATACACAGAACACACAATCTACTAAGCTGATAATCGAATCATCCTTGATAATGGCTAAAGTTATAGCCGAAAGCGCTCGAAATACAGAACATTCGGACAGTTCTTACACACTCTTTGTCCAGAAAAAAGAAAACTCTTGTCAGAACACAAGAAAAATTAAATAAAAATCTCAACCGTAGTACCTTGTCTGTCGTTTTTAATGAAACATGCATATATATATATATATATATATATATATATATATATATATATATATATATATATATATAGATAGATAGATAGATAGATAGATAGATAGATAGATAGATATGTAGGTTGTTCCAACTTTGACCGATTTTAAATGTGAATTCAGTTGAAACGTCTCATGAAAAGTCTAATGATTTTTCTTTTTCTTTCAGATTTCACAACGTAAGTCATTGGCAATTTCAACCATAGAAATATTAACAATCAAACAAGCCTATTACGAAAATGGTCGTTCAAATTTGTGAATATACGGCCCAATGATTCTGCTAGCAAAACAAAGGCATACCAGACAGTGACCTTTTGTGGATGCAAAACACCTTTTCAACAATCTTTTTTGGATTTTTATCACCCCAAATGCAACAATTCTGCTTTTAAAGAACCCATAAAGATGAAAATTGGCTTCATCTCTAAATAGGTTGTTTTGCGAACAATCTTCATTGGCTTGCTTTTGCTCGTGCGCCTAATTGATGAATGTCCGTTGATACAAATGGTCAGCAGGTTTCAGTTCTTTTGTCAATTGAATTTTGTAAGTGCATAGAGAGAAATCTTTTGTCAAAATTCGATGTGACGTTGTTGTGGTGAGGTTCAATTCCTGCGCGCAATGACGAATGGAGGTGTCTGGATTTTCGGCCACATTCTCATGCACTGCAGCTATGTTTTCAGCTGAACGGTATAAACGAGCAAGCAATTGTGTTTTCGCATATGCCGCCGAACCAGTTTGTTTGACTTTACGAACAACTTTTCTAACTGCACTCTCGATTGGTCGATTATGTGGACCCAAAAATCGCGAAGTGCGCGAAATGCATTTCTGTTTGAACGCCCATATTCGTAATAGGCTTCGATAACTTTAACACGTTGTTTGTTTATTAATCTTTCCATGGTTGAAATTACCAAAGACTAAATTTGTTAAATCTGAAAGAAAAAGAAAAAAAAATCATTATACGCTTAAAATTAATTCACATTTAAAATCGGTCCAGTTTATTGGAAAACCCTATATTTATAAGTCTACCATTCTTCCATGCTTCCAATATTGCTACCACATCTGATTTGGTGTTTCTCCTATGTATCTAGATATTCTTGATAAAATAAAAAAAAATCATTATATGCAATGTTATTGGTCCAGACCTTGCATCTCATCTTCAGTCACCTTCCCCCCGACGTAGCATAGCGACCCAGTGCCTATTCTTTAAATATCTTCCTGGTAATTGTTCTAATGAGCTTTTTTCTTTCGTGCCTAGTCTAAGATCACATCTAGCAATTTCAGCTGTTAATTGATGAGACCTTTTTAATACAATATCTTAAGCTGGCCTCGATGTACAGGTTTAATAAATCCGTTGAGAAGACGCATACTTGTGTAAGGACGCTTTCTAATTTGTAATATTCGTTGATCTACTTTCGAAGAAAATGCTATTAAGCTAATCTATTTGCGTTTGTACATCAATAATGACGTAGCTTAAACATTAGAATCCATTTATTGCTTAAAAATATTTAAAAAAAAATAATCTTGTTAATATGCTTCAATGAACGGTGAATAATATTCACAATTAATACAACGAATATTTTGGATATATTTGTAGTTGGCCAATCCCGATTGCAGACGCTTGCTCAGGCGCATTTGTGTTTGTTCAAAACTATGCTGTGCAGACCTTAGTTACAGTTTCTGGGAAAGGGCGTGTTATCTAGCGTGATCAACAATTTGAACAAGTCCACAATGACGTGTGACTTCGTACTATCGACTGCCCCTAAGTGTTCCGTCTACCCAATTACACTCACAGTGCTTGGGTGAGCTCTAAGATTACATCTAGCAGTTTCAGCTGTAAATTGAGGCTTGGGTCAGATCATGGTTTTCATCCACTTTCCAAAGGTGCTGAAAGCTGGAATCGACCGGACAAACCGACCATGGTGAGATTCGAACCCGGGTCTCATGCGAACGTTCTAACCACTCAGCCACGTGCCATGTCGGATAACAAATTCTGTTAATAACTACAATTCAAAGCGATTGGCTTATTGATGCGACCAAGTGTTTATTTCGTAGGCCAATGCGTCCCTGTCTCTTCGAAACGAGTCCAGATGCTCGTTTGATAGGTAAAAATGGCTGTTCAATCTGGCCATTGAAGCGAGGTGCCATCTCGTCCAAGGTTCACATGAAAGAGCGGCACGTGGACCGTATACCGATTTTTTGACGTTTTACGAAGTTCGATACGGGAATAAATCCACACTTGACTGCCTAGCAAACATCACACGGACACGGATTTTTATCATTAATAATCTTGTTATTAATGTTTTCAAACTCATTCATTTCCTTTCTCTTTGTTCGATTTTTCTTATTTTCTATTTTCTTTATCTCTTCTAGGCTTGTTTTCGTCTTTACTTTTCTTTTTTTCCTTTTCTGTTTTCTTTATTACTTCTAATTCTCTTCTAGGCCTATTTTCGTCTTTTCGTTTTTTCCTTTTCTGTTTTCTCATTCTCTTATAGGCATATTTTCGTCCTTTCTTTTATCTTGTCTACGTTTTCTTTTGTCGTTTTCTTTATTTATTTATACTCTTCTCGGCTTATTTTCGCCTTTTCTATACTTTTTTCTCTTTTCTGTTTTCTTATCTCTTCTCATTCTCTTTTAGTCTTATCTTTGGCCTTTCTATCTTTTTATTTACTTTTTTTCTTTTTCTCTATCTATTTCCATTAACTTCTTGGCCTATTTTCGTCATTTCTCCTCTCCATTTTTCTGTTTTGTTTTTAATCTTTTCTATTTCTCTTCTAGGCCTATTTTCTTCTTTTCTTTTTTCCCTTTTTTTTTCTTTTTCTCATTTTCTTTCTCCATATATCTAAGGAAAGGAAAGTTTACCGCCTTTTTCAGAAGCAGAATCCGTTGTTCACCTTCTAAAACTACATCAAATAAAGGTTAATAAAATTTATAACAAACATTGCATTAACAGACCAACCGTTGTAATGGTTAACGATCCCATCCATCTGAATGTTATTACTGTGTTTTCAAGTACATTATCATTAAGTACTCGATACTTGGTACCTTCTGATAGACTCAGCGAATGTTAAGTAAATACCTATAGCCAACAACATTTTAACTGCCTACCTTGATTAATGATTAACTTGTTCGTCAAGGGGAACACTACTACAGTGTTTTCGGACCCATTTTTAATAGGTACTCCATACTTGTAAACGTTTGCCAGATTAAATTAACGTTATTAAGTAGACAATATCGCATTGGTGGCCTGTCTAGAGTAATGGTTAACGAGGTCGACTAGCTGAGGATTATTAATGTGTTTTCGGGTACATCATCACTGATTACTTAACACTGGCGAAATACTACTAAAATAAATTATGTAACCCACATCACATTGACGGCCTTCCTAGAGCAAAAGTTATATAGCTCGTCGAGTGGACCATTGCTTTCAGATTATTTTTAGGTGAATATTTGTAGCATCCTGCAAATTAAATGAAGATTAGTAATCAACACAGACAAAAAAAGGCTTGTCTAAATTCATGGTTAAGTAGATTTTAGATAATAATTATTACTGTGTCGTGAATTAGATCCTTGATTAGTGAGATGAGCACTTACACGATACTAACAGAGTCTAGTCGACTGATGTGTTAGTTAGCATTTTTTCTTGCCGATCATTTTTCGAGAGAAATGAGTGTGAGTATCAATAGATAACTAGCCTATGTGTCTTTGTACAAGGATAGTCTAAGTTATTATAAGACGTCCAGGTGAAATCAAGAATGTTTTTTTAATGATTTCACCACAAACTCAGCGGGAATGCTACTAGTACGCCGGGGGTTACAGAGAGGGAAAGTGAGAGAAAAGACTGCGTATAGGGGGAGATTGAGGAAAGGATAAAAGCTGAATGGGATTCAAGAAGATCGAAGATGGCGGTTAACGTTGCATTTAAATTGTTGAAGATTGTAGTTATCAGCGAGTAAACGGAAGGAAGTTCCACAAGAGGAAAGTGCGATAAAAGGTACTGTTGGAGTTGAAGTGTCGATCAGGTTTAACTATTTCAACTAAAAGAGTGGGGCCTAAAGGCCAATCTAGTTGCACGCTTAAATTCATGTAGCCGGGGCACTAGACGAAACCCCCCCAAAAAACTCGGCAGTGTAGTTGCCATGAAAATATTGATAGAAAAATGTGGACTGTTTTCTTTATTAATCCACATGTACCTTCCGATCACCGGTAATTGTCATTCCGGGATAGGTTCGGAAAATTCGAACGTAACCCTTTATTTAATTTACGGTAGTAAATTGTCCTCGTTTTACTACCTGTCTCGAAGAATATCTCATAGAGTTCTTATTTAATTCTGCTATCTTATTGCTCGCACTGTTGTCATTGAGTTCAAGTACGCACTACCTGGCCCGCGGATGGAACTTATAATTAATATATCAACAAATTCAAGAACCAAATATTTAACCCGTGGTCTATAGTCCAGTTGATTAAAGCGTGGGTTCGTGAACTATATTGTGAGTTCAATCCTGAGTCTCTCCAGACTTGTATCCTTCTGCCAGACGCAATGGACGTTATTAAGAAATCTGGAGACAGTATTGCATTGATGGCTTGCCTAGGCTAATGGTGAACTTAGATAGTGGAATCAGAGCTAGTAATAACGTGCCTCCTCG